CTCCGATCCAAGTTTTTGACCCATACAATTTTCCAATCCCTACCAAATTGTGAGCATCAATGTTATACATTCTGCTCAAAAACATAATAAAGGTGACCTTAAACCTGCTAAGGTAAAGCTTACAGTCTGCAACAATAGGTTTGAGGACAACATTATGCATAACTGAATTAATACAGTCCACCGTATTGAGGGTATTAGACTGGATAAGGACTCTCTCCAACTTCAGCTCTTGGGCAAGAAGTATTAGAGGGTAATTTAGTATTTTCCATATATAGGATATTCTCTTTAGGCTCTATGTGACATTCTCATCTTTACTATTTTGTGTATAAATAGGTGTACTAGGTTTACATTTATAATACAATCAATTTCCTTCAATCATTAGTGGTAGCTTTTAGCATTTATTCCTTTTCTCTCTCTTCCTCAATTTCATCACCTTGCACTAACAAATTGGTATCTAGAGCTCCTGGTTTGTTCTGAAACTCTGGGAAACACGAGTGATAGTGAGCTGTGTGTTTGATTTTTGAATCTTGAACAAAAATATGAAACATAATCACACTGATTCTGTGGGTTTGGGAAACACTGAGTGAGAAATCTGAGATCTGAGTTTTTGTGCAAGGTTTAAGATGAATGAAGGCAGTAGTTTGAACACTAAACTTCCAGTTTTTTATGGCAAAAACTGGAACAGATGGAAGATACAAATGCGCGTGCTGTTTGGTGCTCAGGATGTTCTGGATCTTGTTTCTGAAGGTTATGTTCCAGTTGCAGCAGATGCTACTGAAGAACAAAAAACAGAAGAAAGAGCTATGAAGAAGAGGGATCAAAAAGATCTGTTCTTTATCCATCAATGTGTGGATGAAAATGTGTTTGAGAAGATTGTTGATTCGACGACGTCGAAAGGGGCATGGGATATACTGACCAGATGTTATTGTGGTGACGTATCAGTAAAGAAGGTAAAGCTTCAGTCCCTGCAAAAACAATATGAAAATCTCAGCATGAAGAACAGTGAGAAAGTTTCTGAATACATCTCCAGAATGATTCTGATCACTAATGAGATGAAGGCTTGTGGAGAAACACTTTCTGAACAGGTAATCATAGAAAAGATTCTGAGGTCACTTACTCCTCAGTTTGATTACATTGTTGTTTCTATTGAAAATTCTAAAAATCTGGAAACCATGAGAATAGAAGAGTTGCAAAGCAGTCTAGAAGCGCAAGAGTTGCGTCTGACTGAAAGAACTTCTGAGAGGGAAGTGGAGCAAGCTCTAAAAGCTTCTTTTGTCAAGAAGGACCAGAAGCAGAATAGACATGGTGATAAACTCCAGAAGTCAGAAACCTCAACTTCTGATGAAAAGAAATATCAGAAGGGAAAGGAAAGGTATGACAAGAAGAAGGTTCAATGTTATTGTTGTAAACAGTTTGGCCATTTTTCCAGAGACTGTAGAAACAGAGGAAGGAAATCAGAAGAAGCAAACATAGCCAGAGAAGATTCTGATGATGAACCTGTGCTACTGATGGCTTCTGATTCTGATGGAAACTGTTCAGGAGATTGGTGGTATATGGACACTGGCTGTTCAAACCACTTGACTAGGAACAAACAATGGCTGATAGACTTTGACTCCAGAAGGAGAACAAAGATCAGATATGCTGATGATAAGTACCTTAATGCAGAAGGTATGGGAAATGTTAGAGTCAGAGTGAAGAATGGAAGAAACATTCTGATCAAAGACGTTTGGTATGTTCCTGGAATTAAAAGCAATCTGATGAGTGTGGGTCAGCTTATTGAGAAAGGTTTCTCAGTGGTTATGAAGGACAATCTCTTGACGTTGTATGATTCTAATCAGAAGTTGATTATGAAGTTTGAGCAGGGAAGCAACAGAACATTCAAGGTGAATGTAGAAACTTCTGAAGCAGAGTGTCTTAGTGCAGAAGGCGCTGAAGCTGACAGTAAACTGTGGCACAAGAGGTTGGGGCACTTGAACTATAGAAGCTTAGGGCATCTAAGTTCTAAGAAGCTCGTACATGGCATTTCGAAGATTGTGAAGCCTCAGAAGTCATGTGAGATATGCATGAAAGGCAAGCAACCCAGATTGCCATTTGCATCAGAAGTAGCCCCCGGAGTAAAGCATGCTCCGGGAGTAGTACATTCTGATGTGTATGGACTATTTCCAGTACCTTCACTTGGAGGAAACAAATATTTTGTGTCTTTTGTGGATGAGTTCACAAGAATGACATGGATAACACTCATCAAGTTCAAGCATGAAGTGTTTACTGAGTTCCAGAAGTTCAAGGTGAAGGCTGAGAAGCAGAGTGGTCAGAAGCTGAAGATTCTGAGAACAGATGGTGGAGGTGAGTATAACTCTACAAAGTTCCAGAAGTTTTGTGAGGAGAATGGAATAGAACATGAGGTTACTGCTCCATATACTCCTTAGCACAACAGTCTTGCTGAAAGAAGAAACAGAACTTTGCTTGATATGACCAGAAGTATGCTGAAAGAGAAGAAGTTACCTCACATGTTATGGGGAGAAGTTGTTGCCACATCAGCATATGTTCTGAATAGGTGTCCAACAAAGAAGCTGAAGGAAACTGTTCCTTTAGAAAAATGGACTGGAGACAAGCAAAGTGTTAGCCATCTGAAGGTGTTTGGCTCTGTATGCTACAAACATGTTCCAAATGCTAGAAGACGAAAACTGGATGATAGAAGCAAAACAATGTTACTGGTGGGGTACCACAGTACAGGTGCCTATAAGCTTTATTGTCCAGAAACCAACAAAGTTGAACTCAACAGAGACGTCATTGTGAAAGAGTCAGAAACATGGGATTGGAACAAGCTTCAATCAGATTCTGGTGTATTGCCAACATCAGGGTTAGTTTCTGAAAGTTCTGAAGACGAGTCAGAGTCAGAAGATGAAGACTCTGAAGATGAGTCAGAATCTCAGGGAGATTCTGATAGTGGATCTGATTTTGATCCAGATTCTGATGATGATCCAGAATCTGGTGGTGATTATACTTCTAAAAGGAAAACTCTGAAGACATGGGGTCTGGAGAACAAGCTTCCAGAAGTAACTCTGAAGGAAATAACTCTGGACAAAGTCCAGAAGCCAGCACAGTTCCAAGTTCTGGAGAAAATTCAGAACAAGATCAGAGGCCACAGAGAATCAGACGAATACCAAGTAGGTTTGCAGATTTTAGCATGTTGCATGATACTGAAGTAGATTCTAAAGGAGAAATCGTTCAGTGTGCCATGCTAGTAGATTCTGAACCAGTGGGTATTGAAGAAGCGCTCAAGAAGAAAGTATGGCTGAATGCCATGAAAGAAGAACTTGAGGCTATTGAAAGAAACAAGACTTGGAAGCTGACAGAACTTCCAAAAGGCAAGAAAGCCATCAGCGTCAGATGGGTTTTCAAGCAGAAGCTAAAGCCAGATGGATCAATTGGCAAACACAAAGCGAGACTAGTGGCCAGATGTTTTCTTCAGAAACCTGGACTAGATTACTTTGAGGTGTTTGCGCCTGTAGCTAGACACAAAACAATCAGACTGGTGATTGCTTTAGCTGCTAACAGAAATTGGCCTTTGATACATCTGGATGTGAAGTCTGCATTTCTGAACGGTCCATTACAAGAAGAAGTTTATGTGTCACAACCTCCTGGATTTGTGAAAAAGAATCAGGAAGGGATGGTATACAGGTTAAATAAAGCTTTGTATGGACTGAAGCAAGCGCCCAGAGCTTGGAATTTGAAGATTGATTCGTTTTTCAAGGAACAAGGGTTTCAGAAGTGTGAGATGGAGTATGGTGTTTATGTTCAGCACACTTCAGAAGGTAATATGATTCTGGTCTGTTTGTATGTTGATGACATATTACTCACAGGAAGTTCTGAACAAGAAACAGTTGAGTTCAAGAAAGTTCTGATGAATGCGTTTGAGATGACAGATCTTGGAAAAATGAGTTTCTTTCTAGGGATGAAATTTATATACTCTGAGAAAGGAATCATCTTACATCAGAAGAAGTATGAACTGGAGCTTATGAAGAGATTTGAGCTAGAAAATTGCAAGGTTGCTATCACACCTGCTGATACGAATCAGAAGTTTGATTCTGATTCTGATGGAGAGGATGTGGATGCTACAACTTTCAAACAGATGGTTGGTTCTCTGAGGTATTTGTGTAATACCAGACCTGATATTTGTTATGTAGTTGGAATGGTCAGCAGATACATGAGCAAACCAAAGTGGTCTCATTACCAAGCTGCTGTCAGGATTCTGAGGTATGTAAAAGGAACTCTGAAATATGGAGTGTTATTTCCTTCTGGAGGAAAGATCAAATCAGAACTTCTGAGTTATTCTGATTCTGATTGGTGTGGAGATAGAGTTGACAGAAGAAGTACTTATGGGTACTTGTTCAAGTTTCTGGGAGGTCCAATTTCTTGGAGTTCCAAGAAACAGCCAGTTGTGGCTTTATCAACATGTGAAGCTGAATACATTGCAGGTGTTGTAGCTGCGTGTCAAGCAGTTTGGCTTCTGAATCTGCTGCATGATCTGAAGGTTGAAGTTGAGGAACCTCTGAAGCTGATGATTGATAATAAGTCTGCAATTAATCTTGCAAAGAATCCAGTTCTACATGGAAGAAGCAAGCACATTGAGACGAAGTATCACTTTCTCAGAAGTCAAGTGCAGAAAGGAGTGTTAGAAGTTCTGCACTGTAGCACTCAGAAGCAGCTAGCAGATGTTCTGACAAAGGCGATAAAAACAGACCAATTTCTTCGTCTGAGAGATGAAATTGGTGTTGTTAATTTCTGATAAGTTACTAAATTACGGGATGGTATTAGAGGGTAATTTAGTATTTGCCATATATAAGATATTCTCTTTAGGCCCTATGTGGCATTCTTATCTTTACTATTTTGTGTATAAATAGGTGTACTAGGTTTACATTTATAATACAATCAATTTCCTTCAATCATTAGTGGCAGCTTTTAGCATTTATTCCTTTTCTCTCTCTTCCTCAATTTTATCATCTTGCACTAACAAGAAGCAGACTCCATATGATAGAAAGCATTTCAGCCACAACATGTTCAACTGATATGATCTCTTTCCTACTAGCATCAAGGATTACTTCCTTATCATGGTTCGTAATGATGCAACCAAAGGTCACAAATTCTTCGTTGAAAACTCCTGCTTCAACCTGCAAAACAAAAACATTCCTAGGGGAGGTTTCCCAATCGTTGTGCAATGTCAGCTTTTCCTTGGCATCAATCTCAGGATTCCATTTATTAACGCTGATTTGGTACGCTGATCGGACTGAGTACTTTATGTTCTTCTTGTGGTT